CAGTATGCTATGTTTTGGAAGATGATTATATGCCCTTTAATGAAATTGATTTGTTACTGTGGACTTGTATTTAATTTAGCATTTTAATGGCCTTAAATCATATTTTATTGCAGTGTTTTTCCCACTGTTTCAGAAGAGCTGAACTGAAAATCTCTATAACCCTTTTCTAAATTTTGCATTATATAGAGTCCTCTCTTTAATACCCTCTGTCTTTCTGTGCGTCTGCCGCCCACCCCCTGTCTCCCATGTAAGAAGAAAAGATTTTGTTTTGAAGGAACTTACTGGCAAAAGTTTAACTGACTCACACAGCTGCTTCCAAAGAGCTCCCTCTCCCCCTGATTTACAACCAGTTGTGGTATTACAGATTTCTGCTTGATATTTACTTTTAGTTGCTCTGTATTTCTACAGAGTGTTCAGAGGTGCTCTTTAAAAGTACAATGTGATGACCTATTTTGTTCAATTACTAAGGCCACATGGTCTTGTAATCAACCAGTGGTCATGTTGTTTGATGAGAAGTAGCAATGAACTGAAGATAGTTTTGCAATTTTTTTTTTGAGTGTCAGACATTTGAAATGCAGCTGAACTGCACCCCATGACCATGTATCATATGTGCTGCTTTTGCAAGCATTTTTAAAGCAATCTCAAATTAATCTTACATAAAAAATGTTTTAAGGCCATGGAATGAAATCTGAGAACCCAGAGGAAACCCATATCTGCACAGGTAGAACATGAAAGAACCAAAGGCCTCAGTCATTAAGGAGGTGATCAGCTAAGGCCGTCCGTGTCATTTATCTGACAAATAATGTTGCTTGCTGTGCAGTTCATTGCACACCTGCACAAGAAGTTTATGTTCAACTTTTGGTGACTAAAACTCTGTTTTATCTGCATATTCTTAGCTGAAAAATCTAGAGTTTGTCCATTCTGGCATAAAACCCCTCAGTATTTTTTGGGTTTTATTTTTTTGCACGCCTCAAAAAAATTGGAACACTCAGTCATCATAGTACAACACAAAATCAGTTAAAACTTCAGGGATATCAATCTGTCCATTTAGGAAACGGAAACAACTGTAAATCAGTTTCATCTGCTTTGGTGCAAATAAAAGTGACAACAGGTGCACTCGAGAGGCAACAACAAGACAGCTCCCCAAAAAGAGTTTTGCAGCTGGTGACTGCAGAGCTTTGCTCTCTTTTCATCTCTATTGACTAATTTTCCTCCCAGGTTTGGTCCTCCAGGATGGCACATCCATACTTGCCTTTTGAAGAAGGTTTGCTGTCTCGAGGAGATACCAGGAGGTTTGGTATTTAACATGAGGAGGAGCTAGACAGGGCCATAGAATGGTACCAAACCAGCACGAGGACCACTATCTGCTCCTCTGTGCAAGAGTGAACAGGATGAGCGCTGCCAGAGCGCTACGAAATGACCTCCAGTGGGCTGCTAATGTGCATACTTTAACCCACTAGTTAAAAACAGATTCCATGAGGGTGTGAAGTCCTTTAGCTAGTGCCGTGAAGTTCGATTAGCATTAACCCAGAGAACATGGGAACTTTTTTTTCCATCACTGGTGCCACATTTTCTTCACAGATTAGAAGAGAGAATGTGTTAAATAATCTGGAGATGCCCACGACATCAGTTTGGCAGTGGATCGCAGATTCTCCAAGGTGCATCCTTGGACGATCACACCAGCTGTACCTGCTGTACCCTACAGTCACACCTAACAGGGAGGCACTTTACCCAGGGCCCTCCTCATTTGTGGCCTCATGTGACCAGATTGTGTAGGCATTTTTTCCCATGACAAAAGCATTGATGCCACTGACTGGCCCTCACATTCCTTATAATGCAAGATTAACTTTGATTTTGAATCCACCCCTCAAAGGGTTGATGATTTTGGTTTCCGCCATTGCTGCTTCATTTTTGTTCTCAAAATATTCTTTCATCAGTCTGTCCCTTTCTTTTGAGTCTATGGTTAAACTTCACATAATAAAATTTCACCAACATTCACCGAAATATTGTGAGACTGTGCATCAATGTGTGTGAGCTCATAAGACAAAGAAACAGTCAGTCTTTCAGAGGGAAAGGATTTTGTCAAGTGATCTTGTTTATGCTTCTTTGCTCTTTGTGAAGACTACAGAAAGAAAAATATCAGAAAAACAGAAAAACATCTCTCTCCCCACTAATTTTTTTCTGGTTGGATGATTATAAAAGATCTAAACTGTATTCACAATGACTTTACATGCATTGGAAGACATTTAGTATTTGGTCCAAAACATAGTCTCTCTGGTACAATGAATAAAGTCTATTGTTTCATAGCTTTAGTTGTATAAATGCTCACTCCTTCATGTGTTGTGACCCCTGTGGGCTGAGCACTTATTTGCATGACAAACAAGAAAGAACAAAGTACTCATACTCAGGTTTGCAACACGATGTAGCATTTTTGTAGCTGTGTCCGTCAATTTTAAACTCGCCATCCATGCCAGAAGGTGCATTTGAACCAGAATTGTAGTTTTGAACCATTGTAAGATATGTTGCCAAAGCACCCATGAAAGGTACAAAATTGAATAAGCTACAAAGGATGCATAATAGCTGACAGTGTAATAGAGGTCCTGTTCGAACAATAACCCTTACAAACGTAGCCACACATGAAGGTTACATAGTTGCCGTTTCATACAATAATCACATCAGAAAAGGATCAGGCATATTGTATGAGTTCTGTCTCTGTTGTGGCTTTCCTTTGACCCACTATTAATAATAAATCGAGTATTTCCTTCGCTAGGTGTCTTTCTGACTTTAGTGGAGGAAGGGAGAGCTGTGTTTGCTGGGAGCCAAGGGCGAGTGCCTTGTCATGTCAGGGGTATTAATTTATGATTTCCATCCCAGCTTCTGACCTCATCACCTCCATTAGAATGCAGCCTTTGTAATTTCATGGTTAATATTCAATAGCCACTTGTCCCCGGTGCCTGCTTTGTGCATGTGAAATTTCTGGTTTGGGGTGGGGCGTGTTGGTGGGGGGGGGAATCATTTTTGATCTGTTCAGTTTGTGTATGTGTTTGTGCATGTGTGTGTTCATGCAAAAAGGAAGCAAGGGTTGACTGCAGAATAGCTTTCTGCAAAACAGTTGCAGATGTCCAGAGATGTCCTCTGTGTCTCTACTCCCACCGAGGAGCTTGAATTGCGTCTCTGTCTGACCCGAGACATTTAAAATGCCTCCCTCATACACTCACACGCATACACACACACGTACACACACTAATGTGCACATAACTTACAGTAGCTGACCACTTGCATTAGAAGCCAAATTTGGAGGCTCTTGCCATGGCACTCTGCACAAGAAACAGAGGTTGGCCAGCATCTCACACCCAGTGGACAGCACACACTTAAGTATGCATAGACGCGTAAGGGCTGAAGACAGAAGTTACTTTCATGAGAAAACACTACTGATCACAAAAGACAAAATAAGGGGAGACATTAAAGAGGAGGAAGGGCAGAAAAAGAATATAATTTCAAACAGTAAACGTCTGCATTTCTCCACACATTGGCTTGAATACACATTCCTACTGAACAACTTTGGCAAACTATTAAAAAAGAACAGATTAAGGAGCTCTGTTATGCATGAGTCCCAGTGTTGCTCTGTTTTCTTCCTCCTCTTAGCAGAGAACTCAGAATCTGTTAGGGTTACATGTATAATGCTGCAAAATCTGACAATGTTAAGTGATGATTGTAACAGTATCAAAATTCCACAAACAAAAAGAAACAGTATTAAAATGGACAAAATTGCCATAACCCAACCCTTCTACCATGCAATCAGTTTATTAACCACAGTATGTGGTTTCATGACTCTTTGCAGTCAGTACATCCCATGAAACAAGTATAGGTTGTACAGTTAGCTTTATCAGCAATAACATGAAGTGATTCTTTCCTCTATGTCCTCATCAGTTTGTTCTATTGTTGTGCAGGAATTCTGGTCAACTCTTCTACACACCGTCGCTTCAGTTCATTGAGGTTAGCATGAACTGTTTATGCACAGCTCTCTTAAAGTCTTGCAGCAGCAGTTGGGTTGAGTCCTTTGACTGGACCATTGCAACACCTTGATTCTTTTCTTTTTCAGCCATTCTGTTGTAAATGTGTCCCATTTCCCAGGCTTTAGCTGTCTAACAAATAGCCTCACCATTCACTCTAGAGTATTTTTATATACAAGACAAGACGGACTGACTGCAAGGTGCCAGGTACCTTGGCTGCAAAACAAACCCAAGTCATCACACCTCCACCACCATGCTTGACAGTTGGTATGCGGTGTTTGTGCTGATACGCTGTATCAGTGGCAGCCCGTCCAAACAAGCCATATTTAGAAAGTCTTAGAAAACAACTAAATAAGTGGCTTATTTGGAAGAGGACTGTAGTGTCTGAGATGTTACTCTTGGGTTTCTTGCAATTTCTCTTAACTTTGCATGGTTTAAAAATTAGGATGTCTAGTCCTGGGAACATTGTGGCATTATGTTATCAGACACCTGAATGCTCCAGACAAGCAAAATGCCAGAAAACTTCTGGTATTAGAGAGGTGCCCACATTTGCTGATGATTAGTTAATCAAGTGCTTCTGATTCACCCTCTTCATTTTTATGGAAGCAGTAAGGGTGTACTGAGATTTTCATGGGACTGCACAAAGTCCTGAGAAAATGTTCTTTTTCACAGGACTGTAAGCTGAATGGAATCTGAACACAAATGAACAGCTGGACACCGTCAAGTATAATGTAGGCTGATGAGGGAAACTAGTGTGCCTTGCAGTGCGAATGGGAAGAATACAGCTTGACTGGATATTGAATTTTTGTTTTTCAAAACTACTCAGATTATGAACCAGCATTTTTTTAATGTTAACATAACAAACACACCCAGGCTGCAAGCAGGTTTGAAACCAGAACCTTCTTGCTGTGAGGCAACAGTGCAAATCATCACCCTTATAATCCCACAGTGTGTTCACATGAAGAATGAATGGCAGATGTGTGGAGTTCACATTGTTTATTCAGTATTAAACAAAAAGTTAAGGCAACGTTCAGAATAGCAACTCAAATAGACATTACATGGGAAAAATGTAAACAAAACAACATTATAGTGGACTACAGTCTACTAACATTTAAGCTGGGATATGGATAACTTTCATACTATTAACAGAGATGGCCAGCCCTTAAATTCAATTTGGAAATTCAATTCTATTCCATTCCCATAATAAGATAAAAAAGCCATAAAAGCCAACAGACATTTCTTTGGTCAATGTGAGTAAAAAAAAACCCAAAACAATAATACTGAGCATGAAAATCACTGAAAGCAAACTTGTTTTCTTCCAGTATTACCATAATAGCTTCTCTGAATACAAGGGAAATATTCGAAACGAGATGATGAACTGTTTGATATAAACACATCAGATCCACATCTCAAAACCATCTCTATGTTCTAGAGATTGATCTAAGTGCAAAACTGGCGCTCATCTAGGAACTTTCAACGTCCAGACAGAGAGTGCTCTCCATCACCAGACCAAGTAAACAGCATTTTCAGTACCTCCAGACCATATCCATTTTCTATAAGCTGGGAAACAAAACATAAAATAATATGAAATGACTGAATCATAAAATATATTTAAAGAAATTTAACTGAACTGTACAATTTTTTTTGTTTTAGTACAACCTGGATTCAAACAAGCTGCACCTTCTTCCTGAGCGTTTATAGTTCACAATTATGTTTTATCTTCTGAAAAGCTTAGATGAAGCTACTTTTGGAAAAATGTAGAACTCACAAGATAGTGTCAAATGTTAACAGAGTAAAAAAAAGCCTTTGTTGGAGAATTTAAGTTACATAAAATAAGTTAAACGCAACAAGCAAGTTCAGTGAGTTTCCCACACTGAATTAATCCTGGTTTTAAAGGCCTAAAAGATTGCCTGCTTTACACTGGAGTCTGAGCTCAGGGAGAAACTGCAGCAGAGTGCTAAGAGCCTTGAAACTTATAGTCTGGGATTTTGACAAACCATAAATGATTAGAAAAAGCATTTCAAATGGGTTGTCTTTGTTCAAGGCATAAAATTTGATGGTAGGAAACATGAAACTACGTATTCATAATTTTACACATCTTAGCCAAGTAGATTGCATAGTAAGGTAAACTAACTGGCAGAATGGATATTACTTGCCAGTAATAGTGATTTGCTAACCTATGGCTGTTGTCATTTATAGCAGTTGATAAATGATAATTAAAAAAAACTAAACAAGACATGGGAGAAACACCCTTAAATCATGGGTGTTGACGATGTCCACTTGAGGGCACTCTGCAACTTATGTGTTTGCAACACATGTTTGGAACAAACACAACAACCAGCAGAGTCGGGAAAATCGTAAACGAGCGAATAAATAGCTACATATAACAGATGTAAAGGAAATCCTGTTTTGTGTGCATGGAAGAAAAAACGATATGGGCCGATATATCGGAATATCAGCTTTTTACATCACGAAATATCAATATCGAGCTTTAAAATCTCATACTGGCTAGGCTCTACGTAGAATAGCCCTTCACTTTTAACAATAGAGTCTGGTGGTACTATTATATTTGTTGACTCTGTAGCAATGCAGGCACATAAATGAAATCTATTCCAGTGGTACAAAACTATTTTTTATTATTTATTCTCCATTGTTAACGAACCAGTGTTGTTAAGGAAATGTTAACCTTGCACACACCAGAGATATTTGGTTTAGTCTGGTGACACAGAAGTAGATCCTTAGATGAAGCACCATTATATGAATATCCACTTGGAATATTTTGTAAATATAAAGAAATAATATTGTTATCACTTCTATACATGCTATATCCTTGGATAATTAGTTCTCCCTTCATAAACCTCTCTGTACTTTAATAATGGCATGTTTTCCAGGGCTCTTTGCGTCAGTTAATCAGAATGTCCCTAAATTTGAATGATATGTCCAGTCAGATATTAATTAGAGATGCACCAATTGCATCTCTAATTCTCTAATTCTAATTCTGCAATTCTGGGTGGCTGCTGATGCTATTAAAGATTTTTTTGTTTTGTTTTAGTTGTCATATATGCCCCCATTTTCTGCCATGGAACAACAAAAATCTTCATCATAAAAAGTATATGTACTGCTTGAACAGTATAAAAGCAACATTTAAAGACCTCCCATGTACCCTTAATGACAAGTTTTGACACCTTAGTATATATCAATAAAGACGTAGTTTGATGACCATTAGAATAGTTTCTGGGTTTTTCCAAGGGTAGCTACACAGGCAGAGACCACCCTCACCACGATATGATGCGAACGCAGTCCTCTTGTTCTACAAGCAGACCTGAAATATGAGAGAAGCCGCTCAGTTAAGAAAAGAGCTTCAAAGATTACTACTAGTAAGGTTTCAAGGGGTAAGGAGTTAAAACATTTCAGCCCTTCTTCACAATGTCACTGAAAATTTAGTCAGCTGAACACTGATGTCAAAATCAGGCAACTCTTCTTGAGTAATATTTGCTGGCTTCAGAATTTTTTACTTTGGTGTCAGGAAGTTGATTTAAACTGTAATGTGTTTTCATCATCAGTGTGAGATTGCAACCCTTAAAATAGGGTTTAATCAAACACAGCCACATTAGCACTTCTATTTACATGTAATTATAGGTCAAGAAACTCAGTTCCAGTAACAGTAAACTATTAAAATAAAGGATTTCTCTAACAGTATTTCATCAGAGAAAAGAGAGATTTGTATCAAGTAATTATAAAATGCACAACAGATCTAGATGACATCTCAAGAGGTATTGAGTTGAAGAAGGTATGCGCCGGAGCGTACGAGAGTGCAGGCCTGCTATCAAGAGTGTACCATTCATACTACGAGCACATGGATCTAACTTAGCATAATGTCTTGAGATTTTCACTCAAGGAATTAAATTAGATGTTGAGCAATGTCTGCCTTACAGAGAGCCCAGCAAAACCCGATAACACAGAAATGTGATTTTCACATTAGAGGAGAGATGCAAATATCTTAACTAAAATCTACAAAACAAGGATTAATAGAGATTTGGTAAAGGCAAAGAAACTACTTGAAAATTCAGGCCTTAAGCTAAGCCGAGGCCATTTGTTCACATAGTATGAACGACGGAGGAAAAATGAAACGTATTAAAAAGCAGATGATGCCTTCCAGTCCTTCACCAGATGAGCGAGAATTCATTGAATACAGTCAAAGCCCCTAAAATAAAATGTAAAAGTAAACAAGATGCAAAATAATAAATGAATTTTCACATATTTAAAAAAAAGACTCTACTGCAAATGCTATCAACCATTCGCTCTGTGATGTCTGTTCCTTACAGTACTGATTTAACAGGACTCAAATCTAGGCTGAAGCACAACAATCTCATGATGATCTCTTTTCACAATAGGTCAGTCAGAGAAAGATGCATATTAACAAAAAAAAGTCACTAATATTGCCACAAGCCACCATTTATGTTTTCTCTGTTTTGTACAATGTAACAAGGACAAAGACAGGGCTGGATTCAACGTTTGACTGTGTGTGTGTGTGTCACAAAGGCCAATGTACGCAATCAAACTACCAGACTTTAACCTTGGAAAGGACAGAAGGACAGACTACGTTTCTACTGAGATCTGAGCATCCATTTTCCCATTATGCTGCTGCTCTTATCTACAGAAACACTAAAATCCGGTTAAATTGAGCCATTTTCTCATTTGCCTTTAGAGGTCATTTTTCATGCTTGGAGAACTCCAGTCATTCAGACGGCACAAGGGGCTCCATTGTAATAATGGCTTGTTCCATGAGGGTCCAGAGTCTGCATAGCCGGGCATACGCTCATAGACCACAACTACAATTCAGTCCACACCATTCACCCAGCTGTGTAGCAATGAGCCAACAGCAAAGACAACGAAGTGAAGTTTACTGTGTCATTGCGTGATCAGTAGAGGAAAGAATAAATCACCGGTGACCGATTTCAGCATTAGGTCACAATCTTTCGCCTGTAGGAAACATTGGACATTTTGCGGAGCCTACAAGACCAGCCAATACAGTATGAACCGCAATGTCCAGGGAACAGCGACTGGGTGTAGCACTTCTTATATCTGACAAGACGCTGCTCGAACTTGCTCCTGGGCTTTGTAAAAATGCATAGCAGATATGTTGCGTTGGCTAAGGGGCCTCAGGAAGAGAAGCAAAGGCTGCAGCACTCCATGCAGATCTCCAGGCAGTCTGCAGACTCACAGCAGGCGTCGATGATCCCACAGTCCATATCACAGGGCAGGTCACAGTCGCCACATTCCTCGGTGATGCAGCAGCAGCAGAAACACGAGTCCTCTCCCACACAGGAGCCGCATGTGGCACAGTCCAGCATAATGTTGCACAGGGTTAGAAACTCACAAAAGAGACACGCCAAAATACAGTGAACACAGCAGTCTGGAGGGAAAGAGACACACAGAAAGAGTTTCGTCAGCTAAGCCAACTTCAAAAACCAAAGTGATGTGCGATAAACCTGGATCTTAATGGAGGACTGCCGATTGGGAGTTATTAAAGGAGTGACAAGGTTAACAAATTCTGACATTTTCCAGCCTGAAATTCGTTCTCCTTTTGATTTTGATTAATCCATTTTCAGTTGCCATATGCAGCAGGTTAACATTTATACATGCAATTTACATTACAGATTATAATAGGTGAGAAGTATTGAACTCAATCAATTACCTTTTTTGATGACTTTTTTTTTAGTTAAAATGTATTGCCACAGACAAAATATGCTAGGGGAAAACACAAGTCTGCTCTTCTATTATGAACAGCCAATTGGGGGAAAAAACAAAGCAAAAGTGAACTTTGCTATCACTCCCTCCCTCTCCTCCTGCTCCAGTCTCTGTGTCAGCATCGGTATCTCACCGTCCTGTGCCTCTGTGGGAATCTGGGAGCTGTTGCTCTTGGAGCTGCTCTTGCTTCTCTTGCTGCTCTGTGAGTTGATGGAAGGGTTGGACTGCAATTTCTTAGTGTGTTTGGGTCCCGCTGAAGAAGATGAGGAGGTGGATGAGCCGCCTCTCGGTAGGGAGCCCAGCTTAGGATTCCTGACCCCGTTGGACTGGAGTACATGCGTGTGAGGTGTGTGCGTGTGATTCGGACAGTGCGTGTGAGGGGAGCGTGTGTGTGCGTGGTTCTTGGCTTCACTGCGTATCTGGCTGCTGGGCTGTGACCGACATGGCTGGGTGTGGTGGATGGGCGTGGATCTGGCTGCCGGTTGAGCTAGGGATTAACAAAAGTATATCCATTAACAGCAGGCTCACATAAACTTTATTTTAAATGAATATCATTTCAAATCAGTGCAGTTCAGTAAAGATCAGTGTTGCTGTACTTATGATTTTATGTGCTCAATCATTTGGCTTGACAAAGAAACATTGATCTTCATTTCATACTTCACCTAACAAGGATCAAATCTAAAAACTTTAGAAAAAAATACATAAAATTTTACAGCATTTATACAAACAGGATGGAACTATTTATGTTATTTGTTGGTTGTGAGGAGTCTTTTGTGTGTAATGAACCTGCTCTGTGTGAAGCTCTGAGACTTGTCTTAATGTCCGGGCAGATGCGGTGTCATTGAGAGGGAGGTTTCGGGAAATTGAGTCCAATTACAGAGTCCACCCTAAAGGAAACTGCTCATGGGAAGCACTATGTATTTACTGAGCTGAACCCTGAACTTACTTGTCTAGACTCTTTCACAACTAGAAAGAAAGAATGGAGAGTTTGAGGGACAAAGAGAGGAGTTTGTCTCTAGGTAGAAACACCTCCAAAACTTCAGCATGTGATATTTTCTGCAAACATACTTTTGTTCCAAGATATACTGTACCTAAAACGCTCAAGCATTATTCACAAGTGTTAAATTTTGCTCAGTAATTTGTATATTTTACTACCAAGTGTTATGGAGTATTAACAATTCAGCTAGAAAGTAGAGGGGCAGAAAAGCTCAGTTTTACTGCCAAAGCAAGCACACATACTCTGAAAATGAGATTATGGAAGCCTGTTTAAAAAAAGAATAAATCATGTTAGTATTTAATATGATTCTATAGATATAGCTCTACATTTCTTCCTTACCTAAAACCATGTGCAGTGAAAAGGTGTGGTAAGAATGAATGTGGCGTGAAAGACCAAAGAAAAATCTAACATACACACACACAGGCAAACAGAGTCATCTGTAACTATGAGACATGGCTGGAACATGGAAACTGTGTGTTCGATAAGCACTCAGAGACAGATAACCCAACTAGGCATGTTATGATTGGCTGGTGGCTGTGGTCACAAAACCAATCTGTGTTATTAAAGATTCTTTCATTCAGCGTTTTTATAACTTTGCTCCAGATGTTTGGCAGACTGCAGGGCCAGAGTATGTGAATATGTACGTGCACAAGTCTGTTAACATGATCGCATGTGCAGGGCCAGTATAAGGAAGCCATACTTTCTTCTCTAAAGTATGTCAAAAGTCTTCCATGTTATTCTCTTTTTTTTTTTCCTCTTTTCCCTTTTGTGTGAGAAATTCGTACTGCCCTCTGTGTTCACCCTTTCTCCCTTTCACTCTCTGCGTATTGTCACTCACTTTTAGCCTTTTTGCACAATACTCTATTGTAACACTCTGACCCTAGCAGAATTTATGTTGGAAAGCGAAGAAGGGGGTTAGTCAAACTGTAGCGGTACTGTGCACAGTTTTTCACTTTCCTCTTTAGTTTCTGAGAAAATCATATGTCCTGTGAGTTTGTGGTGCGTGAGTGTGCCTGTGCGAACAAAGTACATAGGTGGATTTGGCAGACGGGCAGGCAGAGAGGGGGACGTGGAGTGAGGACTGTCTCCAAACAGAGCTTGAGGTTAGGCTCATACACACATATATGCATACAAGAACACGTGTGAACACGCACTCATGAACACACACAGAAAAAAAACAAGGTCTCTTTGTCTGTGATCAAGAAAGTTAGTTAGAAAGATGAAGTGAAAATAAAATAGGTCGCTGCTTGTACATTTTTGGACCAGGAGGATGCATGGGTGTGACACATAAACACAATGATTCAGCTTTAGAGGGAGCTGGGAGCTGGTTAAAAATAACAGCAAATAAAGAGCCAAATGATTGCGGGATTAACATGATGAGACTGGGAAACCACAGTGTGTGCATGTATGGCACGTACACAGCCGCGTTGGCCACTGGGGGTCCTGCAACCTCTAGTATGATATGTGCATGCGCAGGTCTATCGGTGCCGAGTATGAGTCACCCTCGGATGAATGCAGCAGCACGCTGCCATTTACACACCCTCCACCTCTTTCTCCTCTCCTGGCGGTTCTCAGCTACCCTGTACTTACACACCTCCCTCCTAGAGCAGAGAGTTGCTCTCTCTCTACTTATCCTTTGCTGGAATGAGTCAACGGAGCGACTGTGAATTCTGTCTGTCTCTGTTCTAGCTGCTCTGTCCCACTGTGTCCTGTAAAACTATAACATTTCTCATCAAACTAAATACATAACCTGAATACAGCCTTAACAGCACGTGAAGAAAAGATGCATGCAGGATGAGCCTCCTGACTCCTAAATCTATATGCAAGCTTTTGTGCACTATTAAGCCAACAAGCTTAGCAAAGCAATCTAGATGTCAGAGTATTTTCTGATAACTGTGAACATTAAACTTTATATTCTAAATGAAAACAGTAAATTTGGATTGCTTCAGGTTTTTCCCCAGTAAACATCTATATGTATGCAGTTAATTATGAAAATTCAGAATGATCTGTACTGCATAACATACATGGAAACAAATCAGTTTCTCATCATCTGTGTCTGTGCATTTGAAAACGAAGTGCATGTAATGTCCCCCAGCTCCCATATTCCCTCCCTTCTGAGTTTTTTTCCTTCATAGTTTGATTGTTTTAAAAAGCTGGCCAATAAGTGCAAAGTACTAAAACTGTGAGAATTGGAAAATGATAAGCGAGTGTTGTAAAGTGCTATTTAAAACAGTTTTCAATGAGACTTCCCCACATTTTTGGCTGCTATACAGAGCTGTAACCAGCATTACAGTGTTAATGAGGCTTGTTTAGTTGCAACCACTCACTATGGTGAAAAGTAATGTGAGAGCAGAGTTCAGTCAGAGGCACAAGACTGGTGACTCAACATGAGGTGTGTGCAGGATAAAAGTGTGACTCAGTTTTGGCCACAAGGTTCAAACTGCTGTCATTTTAAATAAAAAAATATTTGTTCTTAAGAATCTTGAAACTTATCATTTTATCATTGTTTCCATGCAGTTTTAAAATATTGTTACTAAATTCACCCATAACTGGAATATACTGTACAAACCATTCTGAGGCGTTGTCCCTGTTACTATAAGTATGGTTGTTTAAATTAGTGTGGATAAGCCTTAAAACTTTGATGGATTTCTTACAGTGCTGTTGCTACTATTCATAAAATTAGATTTGAACACAGCATCACAGAAACCAAATTTCTGTATGAGACAGATTTAAAGATTTCTTGCAGTTATGTTAAAACCAGTGTTGAAAAAACAATTCTGAAAATATACTTTTGCAAGCTAGCTAAGCTATCAAATGGAGGAGTCTGGTTTGCTTAACTTCTTACAATCATTTGAAAAACAAAGCATTCTATGAAATCATGTGAAAAACTAAGTACACTCTTACTATTAGGAATATATGAAGAGATTAAGAGTGTAAGTAGCAACCGTGTGCTAAGTGATCATCTGCAAAAAGTGAGCGCCTCTCTGAAAGTTTTGGCAGCTGTTGAAGTCAATAACAGTGCAATTAGAAGAAGACTGAACAAGTTTGGTTTGTATTAAAAGGTTGTCAGGGTAAAAGAAGATTCAAGGGCATAAAAAAACCAAAGTGAAAATGTTTGGCCATAATGCACAGCACCACATTTGGTGAAAACCAAACACAGCATATCAGTGTAATCCCCTCACATCACCCGTCAAGCACGGTGGTGGAGGGGTTATGATTTGGGCTGTTCTGCAGCCACAGGATCTGGACATTTTGACTCATTGAGTTGACCATAAAATCGTCTGTTTATCAAAATAATGTAGAGTCAAATGTGAGGTCAAATTTCAGAAAGCTAAAGCTTGGCTTAAATTGGGTCATGTAGCAGGACAATGATCCCAAGCACGTCAACAAAACTACAGCAAAATGGCTGAAAAAGAAAAGAATCAAGGTGTTGCAATTGCCTCGTTAAAGTCCAGGCTTAAACCCAAGAGAGCTGTGCATAAATGAATGCCCGGAAATCTCACTGAACTGTAGCAACGTTGTAAAGAGTGTCCAAAATTCCTCCACAACAATGTGAGACACTGGTAGTCACACAGAAAATGATTACTTCAAGTTATTGCTGGTGGCGGTGGTTGTACAAGCTGCTGAATTACGGGGTGCAATTTTCACAAAACGCACACTGTGGCAACTAATTAAAACGCTCTACACCTCTAAGTATTTAGGAAAGCCAGCGCAAGATCAAAACAATCTCTCAAAAAGCTAAATGATTACAAGTTGACTTTGTGTCTGCACATTTTTGCAGAAGCTTTTCTATACCACAAAAAACAACAACAAAGTCTGACTTGCAACTTGCCAAGTACAGTTCTATATTGCGTTTTTTGCACTGAAAGGTGAAATATGACATTTGGAAACAAAAAAAGAACAAAATAACAACTCTGACATGCAGGAACTTTACTCATATAAAAAAAACAACACTTTTTTTTATATTGTTGCAACATTTGACTCATTTGTGTGTTCTTCAACAGACAACACAGTGTGCAAATCACAAATTCAAGAAGGAGGCTAGGTCTGAATTTGAAACCAAAGCCAGTCAACATGCAAGTATAATATAATACACAACAGCCTTAATTACTTGACCTGAGTTACCAGCCAAACACTTTGTTGACACATGACCCCTGTGACATCTCATAATTGAATCGCCATCCTTCACCTTGTCACCATGCTGTCTGACTGGTTGTAAACATAAAATATGTATGTGCATATTTACAAATGACTAAAAAGAGATGGCAAAGAAAGGGTAAGGTGAAAGAGAATCTAGTCACGAAAACAGAGAGGGAAAACAGTTTGAGCCCAGTGACTGGTCTTTAATTAAAAGCAACGTCACAGCACTGTTAGATTTCCCGACAACAACACGTTGCACACTCCTCCCCTTTGATGACAAGATAATAACAAACACTCTGCTCTGGGTCGCCTTTTTTCTCATATACATTCATCAGCCGGCTTGCCCAGGGCCAGACACATAATGAAACTGTGATGTCATCACCGGGAGACAGAACATATGAGCTGTGGATTTTTCTGTTTATGCTTCTGTTTCTTCACGCCGTCGCTCCCAAACACTGATGCACACGCACACATATACGCAGATGTCACACAGCCATGATCTCACCACAGACCTGAGTCACAGCTACTTTATGAGGTCTACATGCTCATTATGAAGCCAGATACACAGATGATTGATTGACTGTTTGCAGACCATATTTAAACTGCATTCATACTGATAGAGGCCCTCAGACGTATAATTATGCAGACAAGCAGACATAAGCTGTCAGTATTCACCTGAGTGAGGGATAAAGTTTAGAAACTAGTATTGTTTCCTTTGTGGTCATTGTGTTTTAAATGGAGAAAGCTATGGATGAAGGCAATAAGGACGAGTCCATGGAAGCAGATTTGTTTAAGCCCACTATAGTTACATAACTCCCTCTGTGCAGCAAATGGAGCTGGTGGGTTTCACGGTTTTTACTGGCACATAAAGCAGAAGGAAAGAGACAGGGAAAGGCAGACAAACTTCTAAGGCTTCCAAGTTCAGGTCTGAAAATAGATGCACACAGCAGACAGGACAGGTAGAGGCAAAAAATAGTCCAAGACAGCAGACATTCACACACCTACTCAGTTCAAAACAAACTCTGTTAACCTACTTATAGGTTTCCTGCCTGAAATCTGAAATACTCTTTATATAGTTAGAAAAGTAGGATGATACAGCATTGTGTTCATGTTTGTCACAGATATTGGCCCTGGATTCCAGGAAATGCGCTCAGAGCTTTCTGACTATGCTCAACCCCCACCTTCTCACCCCCGAATTCCTCCTGTCATTCATCACGCTTTCACTCATCACCATTCTTTTCTTTAGACAAATTGAGACTCATGCTTTTTAGGTACGTTTGGGAGTGTTTTTACTGTGAAATTTGACCTAATAACATATAACATATTAGAAATAGTTTAGAAGTTAAGCAGAGAATGTTGTAATTTCAAAATAGAGTAAAGGCCATAAAAATAAATGCCATTTGGTAATGACAGCAAAATTGTGCAATCTTTGGCTTTGACACAGAGAGTTTGAGCTACTGCACAGCATGGAAAGTAAAAGCAGCTCCTTTGTGCAGACAGAAAATCACTAGACTAGTAATAGGAGGGAGGAAAATGGGTTTTGGTGCTAACTGTTTGACTTTGTATAGAGAATTGTTAGGTGTTGTGCTACTAGTCACCAGCAAATGAGCAAATTGATACTGAGGGCTGTGCATACACCCAGTGTAGAATGTGATGACTGGACAGCTGGAGAGGTTAAATAAAGCAAACACAATAACCTCTCCTCTAGCAATTTTCTTTCTTCAGTGCTATTGCCAAATAGCTTTTTTATTTTACAGCAGTGAAAAATGTTACTGGCATCAGTAGACCTGTTTCACGGGTCAAATTAAACAGCAGCATCAAAGACATTAAAACTGAAATCTGGATTCGCGTTGCAGCAATAATAAAACAGACAAATAAATCACATTGACTTTTTTGAAAATGATTCAAATCTACCATAATCCCAAACAGTATGTTATGTTGTTAAATCTATTTTCCTGGATGAGAACTGATATAGGAATATGGGAATATTTATTTTGTTTAATATTTAAATTTTATGTACCCTCCAACTTAAATTCTGTCCCACAAGCCTAAACTAAAGACAATGAGGATGACAGCTCGAGCAAGCAAATGGATAAATGGTGGAAGAATGCCAGATGTGAATTTGTCTCTAATTGCTACATTTCATTAACTTTGCATGCAGTTGCACCTACTCTTAAATGTGTGTTTGTTGACCAAGTTATAAATCCAAAGAAGCCAAAACACCGGCTTCTTTTAATCTCATCCAAGTACGCTTAACTCAGACAGGCTCAGGTGACTCATCTCAAAACTTAAGTGTGATTCATGAAGAAATGCGACCTGTAGCACAGTGAGACTGGTTATGTTTCCTCAAAATACAACAAAAGAGATGAGTCATTGCCAGGATCGTTTTGATGCTTTGGGCGAGATCAGGATAGTTGTTAAAGAAGGGTCTTTGCATGCCATCTTGCATTTGTTGTCTCTCTCAAACCAGCATAGCAAGCAGCATGACATTATCTAATCATTCCCTATCATTGTGTGTATCACGCACACACACCACAACAATCATTGCAAGCAATTTTAAGTTATTAGTGCAGACTATTGTGACAAGACAAATAAAAAAAATAAAGAAAAAGAAATTTAAATCAATCCACCAGCTTAGAATTTAAGTGAAAAGTGAAGAGATGCATTAAGTTGGGGGGGAAAAAAAAAATTTGTATGACACTGAGGTGGTAAGAAAACATACTCCGTTGCATTACCTTTTAATTTTGTGTATATATATTTAGCTTGTTGTGTACTATAGTAATATATGTGCTTTTATAATGTATTTGAATTGCTGCTAGAACAGTGTAATTTCCAATATCCACCTTCACTATATAATGATCTCTATGCCATGGGCCTGCACTGTGCATCATGGATGAGTTTAGTGGGGTGAGGCAACAAATAAGCTGTACCTATAGAGGGAATATGAAAGATTAAGTCAGCTTCTGCTACCAAAAACTTGGGCTAATGCAGATGTACTTGCCCTCTTTCTAATGGCCAGTAGCAGGAGTCTCTTCTGTTTGGAAGAAGAAGTCTTACTGCATAGATGTCTTTGAGAAAATTAGTTTGCTGCTAACTTGATTTATGACCTTTGTAAACACTTTCTTGAAACGTTTATTGTGTTTAACATCATCTGTAACAAAACATGATTTTCATTTTGTTTATTATAATCCCCTTTTGAGCAAACCAGATGCAGGGCTTGTTCGTAATGCAGTGTAGCTACATTACAATTCACAAGATGCTACTAAACATGTGGATTTGACCATGTGGATCAAATTCCCTCCTTGCTTTTTAGGCCTTTAAAAAAACAAAAAACAAAGATGGTGATAGCTGGGGCTACAGAGCAGGTGATTACAGAATTCCATGAAATCTAAGTCATTTGACTCATCTTGTTTTGACTAACTCAAAGTTGAATATTAATAATAATAAAAACCTAAAAAAAGAAGAAGAAGAAAAACTAGCTTAAGAAAAGTTGCTGTCATGCCACTATTTTTATTACGGTGATATTCTAACAAACCTGGGGAAGGATTAAAATGTAGGAAAGTGAAAGAAAAGACTAAAAGGTGTTTCATTTTGAGTGTTCAGACTTGGGTGCACACTTGGTTGTATTGGGAAAAAAAAATCAGAAAGCTAACCTACTTAGCTGACAGATGTGGATGTAGATATTTCTGTCTGCGTGTATGATTACCTGACCTATTTCTTGAGGGTGTGCAAATGTGTTTGTTAAAGGTCAGGACAATGTGACTCATCAAACCAGTGATCAGTAATGGAAAAAAAGTCTCACTGGTCTCTCAAGTGTGCGAGTGTGTCCCGATGTGTGAATGTGTATGCATGTGTGTTTGTGAGGGTGCTTTACTCACATGTGATACTCTTGTAAGGTGCTGTAAGCGCCAAATCTGGATTGCTGGTGCCGGAGAGGCAGTTGTCGCCATCATCGCCTTGCAACCGTTCTGGGGTGCCATTTAACCTCAATATGAGGGGCTCAGTGTAGGTGTGGCCCACATCTGCAAAACACACAGGTACACAGACACACACACGAACAAGTTAAAGAAAACGTCTAAAAACAGATCTCAGTGTTTTATATTTACTGTATTTTATGTGCTGAGTAGCTGGATCGACTTTTATGAATGTATGAATGTTTATGCTTGAACAGATTCCCAGTTTTGTTTCCTTTTATCAAAAATAACCAGCAAGCTGTTTCCCCACTTGTGGTAAACTTGCCTACTCTGTTGTCATTTCCCATCCACCAGCACCTAATTAATTTTAACAGAGTAGTTCTGCTGACTTCAACAAAGCAAAAGATTTTGTCTGTGTGTTGGTGTGTGCTCTCTCTGTCCTAAACTTGCATCTGGAAGTAGTTAAATCCAAACCCTTGTGACTGTTTAGGGGTCCATGTGTATGCTTGTGAAACCTGAAATCTTTGTGGGTCTATATGTGTGTGCATGTCTCTTTTTGCAAGCCAGTGTCTGTTGAACACATAAGAGTGCATGCACACAATATATATGCAGTAAATACATGTCTGGGTGTTTTATATGTTCAAAGGTACCATGCAGTCCTCTAATGAAGCTGTTATTATACAAACACACACATGCACTCATATGCACACCACACACACACAAAACACAGAGGCCTTCAAAGCAAGGCAGGCCTCTGAGAGGTGAAGACTCATTCCTGGGCAAATGGGAGCCAGCTGGGCTTGATAAACACACACATACACGTACACACATACAAACCAAACCACGTCCTGTGCATGGACTCAACACTTCCCGGCTCTGTTTATTTACTCTATCCACTCTCCCTCACTCCTCTATCTGTCCTCTCTTTCCTGTCCCCAGCCTCTCGGGTTCACATTCCCTTTTGACGCAGATACATTCCTGTGCATTTCTGGCATAATTCTATGGATCCATTCTCATTTTTATGGCTGAACTTTTATACAGTCTGTCCAGTAAAGGCCGTATAAATGTAATATTCAAATAAATAAGCAAGCCACAGGCTTTAAGCAAACTGAGAGTAATTATACAAAACAAGAAAGACAACCCAAACAAACAAAAAAATAATTTTTAGCAAGAGCTGTGTAATTTTTTAGAGTATACATAGATGGTCGTGAGATAGGTTTTTCCAATATATGCTGCAATTTACTGATAGCTGTGCAGTAGGACGAGAAGGAGAGAAGATATAGTTATCAAGGTGACGTCATAAACGGCAGCAAGCAAAACACTGAGTGATTTAGCTAAATTAAAAAAAATCAAAATACAAATCAATGCGCATGACAGTAAATGTAATTACTAAACTAAGAAGCAATGACATTTGCATTTCTTAAGATGTCATTTCTAGTAACATGCATGATTAAATTTAGGTCTAGGCTACGATACTGTTAGCTGTTCCACCTAAACATATGAAAACAACATGATGGGATTTCACAACTTGAATAAATATGTTTATTCATTTGAAAAAATGTTGTAGAGTTGCACAATAATTGCATTTTAATGACAATCTTAAGGTCAAATGTCTTTTGGTTTTCACACACACTAATTTGTCTTTCAGTCCTATTATTTATAACTGTTAACACAGTTTTTGGGGGTTCTGCATTGTCGGTCAGATAAAATATCAGACTGTTATTTTTCTTAAATAGTTTTTAAAAATTTTATATAAAAGAAAAACTTTCTGCAATAATCATCCTAATTCCACGTTTAAAGCTATTAAACTTTGAAATATATAAATTGTAATATTAACTACAGACATCTATATAGCTTGATCACTATGAGCACTGCTATGTCTGTCATATCTGACAAAAATAAAACTAAGTCCATATAATATACACGATGAAAAAGAGGCCGTCAAAAGTATTATGATTTATTTTATGTTAGAATTTATTTATTTATTTATTTTTTACATTGATCTGTTGGTGATTAGTCTTTTGGAAATGTTGCAATGGCAAACCTATTGATCAGCCACAACTTTAAAACCATAAAATGTCCTGTGGTGTCTGGCACTTTCAGGACATTGGCAGCAGATCCTTTGGGTCCTGTGGGTTGTGGCCTCAGTGGCCTGTTCTGCAACCCTTGGATGTTGATGGGACTGGGATCTGGGGAACATCGATATTTGGGCTCTTTGTTGTGTTCCTCGCGCCATTCCTATGTAGTTTTTAGACGCTTTGCCCTGAGGCCATTGGGCTCTTTAGCATGCAGCATGAAAATATGTTACTTGAGCTAACCTTGATGAAAAGGCCTAGTGTTTTAAGCCTTGGGTGATTTGCTTGCAAAGGTTTGCGTGTGTTTGTATACCTGTGCATATGTATATATTTGTGTCTCTCAAGGGTGTTTTGTATGTGTGGGTATTTTTGTGTGGGAGACCATGTGAACAGGAGCTGAGGAGACGGGAAATACTTCCTGCTTTTCTCTTCTATTTGATAGCGGTACACAAAACTCACACCCATACAAACACACTTAAAACACTTACCGTACACTCCAATAATACCTTCCTGCATCTCACACTCACTCTCATCACACATACTTCTATCTCTGCCATGTGGAAGCGATTTTTCCAAGACCCATATTTTGTCCATTAGACTCAATCAGTCTGCTCAGATATGAAAACCACTAGTTAGAACAGCTGTCCTGACACCAAATGTCTGATTTAGAGGTAACTGTGTGTTTTAGTCGACATGTATCACTAAATAGTAAATTAGAAGCAAATAAAAAAACAGTATGTGTAACTTCAGGAGGCTAATCATAAAGTCATTGAACATTGTGTTTCATATTCCTATAATCAATGATAACGCTATCACTTAAAATTGCCAGTAACATATAATCATCTATTGTTCTACACAACTGGTATCAATTTTAAAATGTTTGAGAATGGATTGTAAAAAAATAATAAGACACCATATGCTGGTAGGCAACAACTGAGTCTGATAACTTTAGACAGCTGGCAAGTTTTTAAAAATATTGAGATCAGTATTATAGTTTATTTTTTAATAAGGGCATTTATCAGTTCAAGTCATTGTGTTTCTCGTTTTTCCTCATTCTTTGGAAATTGCTTTTGGGGCCAATTACCACAGTCACACAAAGCACAGAAAAAAACCCTTCTGAAAACTAAAAGTCAGTCTTATTTGAGTCCCCAGTAAGAATCCAATTGAAATACAGAATTTGCTAAAACCAAAACAACTTTGCAGCAAAGGTCTACAGAATACCGCAGACACTGTTGGAAAACCCCCATAATGGCTTAAAAACAAAAACAAAAAAACAATAAAAGTGGGATAGGCTCCATTCGTGAGTTGCAGATGCGGCATACACAAGCAGTGTGAATATGAAACTATGGTTAATAAATATAATTTTTTGAAAAATAAATAAAGAGTTTGCTGATGCTATCGTTCAAACTTTTATCAAAATAAATTCCAATCGTTATTGTTAATGATCGACTTTAAAACAATATCGGGTATTAACTCTGAAGCAGGGCACGTCAGAAAAAGGGAGCACCTCAAGCTGTTTGATCATATGATCTTATGTACTCTTGAATCCTTCACTACAGTTTGTCTTTGTTTTTTGACTGTGGGGTAGCAAGGGTTAAAAGTGTATGGGACTTTTGACTTAGCTAGTCGAAGCGTTCCCTTTGTAAATGTTCGAACCCACGATTGTTGGATCGAAACACATTCCCACAAACCCTCAGTGCCATCCAAGCAGGCCATCAACCAATTTTGCGTTGGCATAAGGATCAAAACACCTAACCGCTCGACCTCAGAGCCAGTTCTGAGAACCGTGAAAGATGAGCCTCTAATTAAAATCAGACCCGACCAATCAAGAGCCGGTGAGGAGATACGACTATGTGTTTACACTTGTGGGTATTTGTTTGTGAAAGCTTGACTATATACCTGTGTATATTTCTGTATTTGCGAGTTCGTGTGGGTTTGTAGTTTGGTATATGTACACGTGTCGGTGGCCCTGAAGGGGCGATTCAGAGGAATTTTAGTCTCCTTGTAAACAAACAGTTAACCATTAAACCAAAAACATATGGATCCCATAGGGTAATGATTAGCATAAACACAACACACACAGACACTATTTACATGAACTTGAAAATGATGTGACATATCCTGAATTACCTGAAGGGAAGCATTTCCTGCTGTTCCTCCTGGGGATGGAGTGTGTTGGTTTATAGAGAACAGAGGACTGAGCTGAGTTTACCTGCTTCCTTTCAAACTATCTCAACACCGTTTCTACAGCTCCACTATGACATCTTTAAAAACGCAAATGTCTAATGTGTATGCAAAAGGAGGTCTCTTAGGCTTATACATCCCTGTGGCAAAGATAGTGTGCCTGGAATGTTTTCAGACACTTTCAAGGTTTCCATGTTATGGTATATTCCAGACGCCTTTTTAAAATGGATTACATTCATTTATTCATCCATGTAAACCCACAAAGACAAAACAAGAACAAATTTGAAATGTTTTGTTAATTCATTTTCAGCAAAAGACCAAAATCGTTGATAAACACCTGGTCTTTGAGATGCTTCTACAACTTGACTTGAATCCAGTGCTTAATTAAAATAATCTACACACACAGCTATGAGTATTAGGGCTCACTGTTGATGGTGTGTCAGAGTGAAAACCAAGCCACAAGGTTAAAAAATGAGAACCACCAACAGGATGAGTTTAACAGTCTTCTATAATCTGACTAAAGTGAATTACTGGGGATGGGCAGCCTTGGTCAGGAAGGCTCAAACAAACACTGTGGTCTTTTTCTGGAGTTGGCAGAACCTTAGAGAAGAACACGGCGCAGTACTCCAACAGCAAAGGCCTGACAGAAGCGGTTACTCACTAGCAGGCACATGACAGCATGCTGGGAGTTTGACATTTTAACCACATTTAGACCAAGAACTCTGGTCTGATGAGACATAAATTAAACCATGCACAAAACAGATACTTGGCATCACTTCATTAACACCATCTGCACAGTAAAATGTTGTGATTGCAGTATCAGGAACTGGGAGGTTAATATAGATAGAG